AAAGCACACGACCGGTGTATATATATATATATACACCGGTCGTGTGCTTTGAGGGGAAATTTCGTCTGATCAATCATATACTACTTATTATGAAATATACATGTATGTATAAACCTCGAAGTTAAATGGCGCAACAGTGTCCAACAGAGAACTAAGGCACTTACAAACTGTTCTTTTTTAGTCAAAGACACCGGTTTCCATTAGTTCGACCATACCCTGCGGTAACTCTAGACGAAGCGAATCAAACAAACACAATCCTGATCCCTCTCCCGACTAACGTTGTAGCCTTGATGGAGAGTTCAAAATGTAGGTCAACACTGTCGAGAAAGACGTCGAGGTATTAAGTTTCTAGTCGGAGTGCGGTAATGGAACAAACAATGAGTCACCGTCTGAGGACAACTGGCCTCAAACCGCTGCATCTAGGTAACAACTAACCGCATTATCCATGGAGCCGATCTATACTCTAGCACAACATAAATTAAAAAAGTTGAGAAAAACAATGAATGTTCATTAAACCACCATGACGAGACTGCACCTTGACGTGGTGTGATGGCTTTTGCATCTCTCTGACCCAACGAGCTACACAGGATGGCTTTTGTCAAGTCGAATATCTAATCATGCCCGGGAGGTCGAAGGGTAGAGGTCGAACGAAGTTCTGGTCCTCCAGGTTGGGGGTTCGACTAGAATTTGCGTTTCAGTCGGTAAAAAATAGTGGAGGAGTAATTGATCCAAGTAAATGGACCTCCACTTTGCTTCATCCGCTGCCTTGCGGCTAGGTTCTTGTCAGAACTAAAGGCTTTGGTTACGAAACCTAATCGTTTTCCTACTTAGTGGTTGGACACCCTGGCAGTACCCGTCCATCAAACCCCAANATGCATTGCGAGTTTGGCAGCGATCCGTGAATTTCGCTTCTCTGTATTGCACTGTACGATGATGATGATGAAAAGTCTAGTACGCAGCTGGGTTGTGTGAAACTTACTACAGAGGTCCGTTTTGACTGAGGATTTAACGAAGACAGTTGACTGAACTCCTGAAGGTTAGCTACATCATTTGTACCTAGACCGATTAAAATAAATACACTAAATTGTGCTTTACCATATGTAGCAGGTGTTTCCCAGTTGTTCGACACTTTTTTGGCAGATTTCATAAGCAACCTTTCATAGTCTTCTTCAAGTTTTCTGATATGCTCGTCTTTTTCGTCTATTGCTACCTATGGGAAAAGAGGGATGGATACATTACAAGACGACATGCTAAAAATTTACCTGAAGCTTTTTTGTTAGACTTTGGTAGGAGTTCAGTGTGTCCTTCAATTCCTTCTGCTTGCTCCTCAGCTACAGACGAACGATAAGAGCTAAGGAAACTTGAATCGACTACTTTGTTGTACTCCACACATAAACGATCGTATTTATTTTGAAGGAGCTCGTCGGGATTCATCAGGAAGAGCCACGAAATGCGAATTGGTCACTGAGCAAAAACCAAAAATCAGATAATTGCCATTGGTTTCACTGGTTGGAAAGTAAACAGGCGGTCAGAAAGGAAGTGCACCGATAAAAAATGAGAAAAGCATTTTGACGTTTACTGGATGGACGGATGTATGTATGTATGTATGTATGGATGGATGGATGGATGGATGGATGGATGGATGGAGGGAGGGATGAATGGATGGATACGGAAGATAAATTAAGCCATGATCAATTTCAGTGAATCACCGGAAAGAATACGGTGGTCAAACAAATTTACGTTTGCAAGTCACAAAATTCAAGTCCTTTAGGGTATCAATGCAAACAGCATGTACCTAAAACTGTGTAATGGACCGATAAGATAACCTAACACAAAATATAAATAATAGGTTCGTTAATTTAAAAATTCAGAAGCATAAATGAAACACCCAGCAACTTTAAAGAGTTGTGTCCGTGATATTACACATCAGGTAATACTGTAAGAGTTCCACCAGAAAAGTTGGTATACGAAAAATAATCAACGTGGTTACCAGTCACAATTTCGTGATTCACTGATGCACAATTGCTACCGTAATTGTACAGAGTAGCAAAATGAAATTTTCTATATGTCAGAAATTCCTGGACACAGTAATGGTACACAGTTCTGGTGTGAGCTCAGGTACTGACTCGGCAGTGAAGAGGCCTATAGTGGAGGCTCCCATCCGCCTCTAATCAACGAGCATTGAGCCTGATGACGCCTGACGACTTGTGATGCAGCTAAGAAGTAAGGATTTTCAGTAGTCAATTGATGGCAAGTACGCTGGGTTTATGTTGTCATTGGTAACCCCGGCCAGAAATATATCTGCTTGGATCACATATTATAACCGATTCGTTTAAACTCTTCAATTGAAGGTGTAAAAAGCTTCTAGGATTATAGTTTTACCTGTTTCTTAAATTTTCTCAAAGAGATCTGATATCAGCATGCATTGGGAGATGATGGGGCGGTGGTTTAGTTGCCATCACAGGCGTGCTTTGGACCCTATGGTCCGAGATTCGAGCCTCGCCACCGCCACCCAACTTTGGTGGTAGGCAGCTTTGCTGTTGTCTAGTTCAACACCACGCCTAACCTATCGGGGCCTTGTGGTCCACCACTCCAATTCCCGGGGCTTAGGTTACCGGTTTCCATCACTGAACAGTAGGTCATCGCGACTATGGGGCTTAGTCCGTCTGCCATTCATCACACGAAAGCGTGTGATAAAAAAGAGGATTTTCAAATGGGTGTCTGAGACTTTAAGAAACGGAAAACTTCGTGGAAGCCCACAGCGAGTAAGTTTTGTGAGGGTCCCTAACCAGAGCCTTTGACTAAATATTTTAGGGTATAAATTCAAAACGGGAGCGTGACCAAGGCGTCCGACTGGGAGTGGTGGTAGGAAATAAACGAGTGGATGCACGAGCGCCACTGTTTGCGACACCCAGCCATATCACTCAGTGTAGCTAACCATCGGTGACCACCATCCCAAGCCAGGGAGCCTAACGGGACCTATGTGACCTAGTCTCCTGGTTAGGGTTTTCATACCCTCATGCCAGGTCTTAACTTGGCCGCCCTTCGTTTTTTTTTCAATCGCTACCAGCCTTCGCAAACATCGTTCGCCGTGGCAACCCATTTCGTGACATGCGTAGCACATGTCCAAAACTGCATAATCTATGGAGGTCGACCACTTGCTCTAGTGGACGACCGCGNTATTGGATGGGGGGCTGTCCAACTCGAGCGGGCGGCAGCCTTCCAATGAAATGAAAAGACTTCTGCCACCATCGGTATGAAACCCCGAGGATCCCGTTCATCTAGTGTTTCTTTTTTGACAGGTAGAATGCTCCACCCAGCGTTTATTTACTGGAGTGACCTCTCCACTCTCCAGAGACTAGAGTGGATGGTTA